ATGATTTTAACCCCTTAAATTCTTTATAAATCAATAATTTAATTCTGGTTGTAACGCTGTATTTGATTGGATAAAAAAATTACTTTTTATCTTATAAAAGGGGTTGCCTACGTCACAACGACTTGCGTCAAAAACGTATCGATCCGCCTGACGTAACATTCAAAGTTTGTACAAATTAAAGTCATTTTTTAAGGACAATCATCTTTTTTTTCTTACACCAAATAAATGAAAATTAAATTATACAGAATGAATTTAATAGCTACCCAATTTATACGGTATAAACTGGGTTGGAACAGTTTACGCTTTTTTATAAACCGCATAAACTGCCCCAACCTAGTTTATACCGTATAAAATGGGAAGCTATTAAATTCATTCCTTAATTAAACGCTTTTGGTTTCCATTTTTTAAAAAGCATTCTTTCTAAACTGAAGGAAACTGTATTGGGAAAATTTCTTCCAAGTTTTTAAATACAAGTTTTATATTCACACTTCCATCTCTCATTCTTTGGCAAATGCATTTACAATATCTTTCTGAACTGCAAACCAAACTATCATAGCAATCATCAAAATCATACCAACAAATATATCAATCTTATTCTCAAAACAAACACATTCATAAAGAGCACAGAAATGTAAGAACCTGTCAAATGTACCAATTAAATAATAAAACAGAACAAGAGACAATAATAGCTATCACTTGTAGAGATCTTTCAAACACTTCTCATATTAAGTAATTCGTAATTCAGCCAATATCCTGCACATGTATGGTTTGGACAGGAATTTCATGAGTCACTACTCTGTGCTCCACAATTTGTCCGTTTCTTTGGTGACCGTACTCAAATTTGATCCTAAGTTCCCCAATTCTGGACTTTGGCAGAATGTCAGGTATCCATTCTATAATGAAGGGTGTTGGTTCCTTTTGATCTGCAGCTGTGTTTCCTTGTTGTGAAAAATAAATAAAAAGTAAGCTATTCATTCAACAAATTGTTGAACTGAAGAGTTTGCAAGTAATTTGCAAAAAGCAAGAGTCACTTAATTCTAAACACATCTACTTAACACATAACAACTTATAAAGGGTTGTGGTATTCTTACCAACTTTGAGGTAGGTTTTAAGTTCAAAAGGTCGAATTGGCATTGGATTTTTGCCCTTAAATGGTTCATCTAAATTCTCTACTTGAACTTTTGGCACTTCATACAGATCATAGGTTCCATCTCTGTTTTCCACAAAATTGCGAGTGATATCTAATGGCATCTACAAAGACATTTAATTCATACTGTGAGTCTTCAAAAATATACAATAGGAGGTATGAATGAGAAATTTATAAACTGATTTTAGTGAAAACTAGATATCATTGAGATGGTGGCCATCTCAAAGGGCCCCGCTTTCAGCAACGAACATGAAATTGTAAGGTAGCTGAAAAGGGTTTATTTTGAAGAGGAACATTTGTGTACTATTAAGGGATTGTTGTTTGAGTCTAAAGGGCTTCTATGTCATCCTTGTTATAATAAAAAATAGCACGAGTGCTCCATACCCTCTATCAAACAGCACAAAAATCACAAATGTTGCATATCCTCTATGAAAATTGTTGCATATCCTCTATCAAAATATGGAAGGAAAATCAAAAATGTTCCGTACCCTAAGTCAATTGGTAAAGTTTGAGGTTGACTGGACTTAAGGGAAAGAAATTAAGCACCAAACAAAGATTTTAAACAGAGAGGCTATTTGACCTTGACCCTTGACCTAGAAACTTCGTTCTAGGTCACTGCACATCCATTGACCAGTGGCACTCTGTGAGTGAAGTATGAGCCACATTGGACCATGGGGAAGATATGCTCCGGGCAAGGATTTTTCATATAATTCTGCTATGACCTTAACCTTAGACCTAGAAACATGGTTCAAGGTCACTGCACACCCTTTACCCAAAGGCACTCTGTGGGTGAAGTCTGAGCCAGATTGGGCCAAGGAGAGAGAAGATTTGCTCCGGACAAGAGATCTCAGACGGACAGATGGACAGAAGGACAGACAGACAGACAGACTGATCACTATAGGGCGCCCGCAGAGCGGGGCCCTAATTAGTGGAGGGTTTTGAAGTGGAGCTGTAAATGTAAATCTATCCAAATTCAAGAACTTATCAAAATGAATTACATTAAGATTGGCATCCTATTTCATGAAAACTACAATAAGTCTGCCTCATTCAAGTGTATAATGGGGAAAGTCTAATATGTGCAAAACTGGGAGGGGGACTCAGGGAAGTTAATGTATGTCCCTTCATCCTGTTTTGGTTTCCCTGCAAACCTTCTAAATGGGTTTAGAGTGGGATATTTGTAATGACAACATGGATTGGTTGGAAGAAGAGCTCAGCTTTATTTTTATCATTTCTGTGGTATGGGGTCTTAGCTATAGGGTGTGATCTTTGCTGTTAAAAACTGATTTTGATTTCAGTGTATTGACTTGTCAGAGAAGGGCTCTGGTTGGGAGTTCATATTATAGGTAGTCATACACATCTTAAATTGCTGAAGATATACTTTTTCTCAATTGACTGAAGAAACATTCTTGTTCTAAGTAAACAGAATTAGAATGCAAACAAAAAAATCATTTGCTAAAAAGAGATAAAAAGCTGAAACAGTGTGCCTTTTAGATTGGGCTTTATGGCAAGTGGCCAATATACAGCTCTTCACCATCATGATTATGAAACTAACAGAAATGCTATATATTATCACACCAACACCGTTGTGCATGTACTTACTTCAGGCGTATCAAAAATCTGTTTGACATGCAGTATATTAGTGATATGCCAGGTGTATTTGGTGAATGTTCCTAGAGGCAAAGCATCTTTACGTATAAAGCCGGTGGTAAAGTTGGGCAGTCTCTTTTTCTTACTGCCGGATGAGATTCTCTGTTGTAAACACTCAAAGAACACCTGAGGGGCATGAAAGACTAGAGGGTCCGGATTACCTGAAGAGAGATCATGGGATTTCAATTTTTAAGTGCATTAAATTCAGATGGTGCCGATTACGATATTGAGAAAAATTATGACAAGACCTTAAACTGATCATGCACTTTTCATTACTGTTTCGTGATAATTTTTACTTTATGCCATTAAACATAATTAAAAAACAATTAAAAATTTTAAAACAATTTGACAAGTAGATTCTATCTATCTGATAATGGATTATTAGCTAAGTAAACGAACTCATTCTCATTAAAATCTTAGGAAAATCTGACCATCAAACTGATAGTGCATTGTCTGGTTAATCCTCTCTGTAACACTGCCCAGCCACTGATGGAAGGACACCACAACTAAGGACTCATCTATAGGCTGTGTGCCTACAATACATAGACATAGAAAATCAAAATAAGAAACAACACGCATTTATAAAACATTATTCCAGCCCTCAATTTTACTGGATTTACTCTGTACTACTTTTAATTTAATCCCCAGCACTAATTTAATAGATCTAAATAAACTTATAAAGTTTATACACATCTTTATTATTTTCAAATACTGAAGGTTTAACATTTAAATGTTTAAATATATGAGAGATAAATCCCACCTAAGAGTTCACTTAAAGTTCATCATTACAGCTAGATGAACTACATGTAGCTGAAAACATCAACAATTTAATACATATTCTATCTACCAACTCACAAAATTCTTGTTAATGTCTGCTTACTGACCTGGTTTCTTGGCTGCTGCAGTAGCAGCTTTGGTCTGTGGTTGTTGTTTAACTGGGCTGCTTTTCTTTGGACTGTTAGGAGATGAGGTGTTTCCATTTCCTTCTTGTAAAGTCAACAAAGCATTGCTGGCCTGAACTGTAGATAAAAGAAATACATATAAACAAGACTATACCCCACCCCAAAACTTGCCCACTTACATAATCTTCTTCAAGCATTGTCCACCATATGTTTTACTAGAAATATGTCCATAGGACATGAATGCCCCGCCGAGGGTATATTAGTAATGCAACATGAAAACTTGTATTAGTGTATGAAATTTGATGAGAATATCTTGAATAGTTTCTTTAAAATTGAAATTGAAATCTAAAAAGTTGGACATAGATGATAAATTTTCACCATATTATGTATAAGTGCATAAGCTTACATAAATATATCTAAAATGGTTTCTTTAAAATTAAGCAAAATGCAAATTTAAGTAAAATGAGGTCATTGTCCCAAAAAAGTTCAAGGTCAAACGTTTTTGATGCAGTTGAATAGCTCTCATCAGTTTGTATTAGCATTTTAAGTTTGACAAAAATATTTGAATGGTTTATTTAAAACTGAGCTAAACACTGATTTAAAATAAATGAAGTTAATGTCAAAGGAAAGGTAAAGGTAAAAAAAATGTTGATGCACTTGAAAAGGTTACATCAGTATGTATTAGCATATAAAGTTTGATAAAAATATTATGAATGGTTTCTTTAAAACTGAGTTAAACACAAATTGAGAAAAGTGAGGTCAAGGTCAGAGGAAAGGTCAAGGTGAAAAAATATTGATGCAGTTGAATAGCTCTCATCAGTATGTATCAGCATATGAAGTTTGATTTAAGAAAAGTTTGATAAAAATATTATGAATGGTTTCATTAAAACTGAGCTAAACACTAAATTGATGCAGTTGAATAGCTCTCATCAGTTTGTATCAGCATATGAAGTTTGATAACACTATCTTGAATGGTATCTTTAAAAGTGAGCTAAACACTTATTTAAGAAAAGTGAGGTCAAGGTCAAAGGAAAGGTCAAGGTAAAAAATATTGATGCAGTTGAATTGCTCTCATCAGTATGTTTCAGCATATGAAGTCTGTTAAAAATATCTTGAATGGTTTCATTCAAACTGAGCTAAACACTAATTTAAGAAAAGTGAGGTCAAGATCAAAAGAAAGGTCAAGGTCTAAAAATGTTGATGCAGTTGAATAGCTCTCATCAGTATGATTCAGCATATGAAATTTGTTAAAAATATCTTGAATGGTTTCATTAAAACTGAGCTAAACACTAATTTAAGAAAAGTGAGGTCAAGGTCAAAGGAAAGGTCAATGTCAAAAAATGTTGATGCAGTTGAAAGCTCTCATCAATATCTATCAGCATATGAAGTTTGATAAAAATATCTTGGATAGTTTTTTTGAAACTGAGCTTTGAACAGAGCTAAACGCTAAGTGTGACGGAAGGACGGAAAGACAGAAGGACGGAAGACGGACATGACAACACTATATGCCCCAGCCATATTCATGGTGGGGCATAAAAATTAGATTTTATATTCATAATGTTGTTTATATCATGTTACCTAGTGTTTCGTCTTTTTTCTGTCTCTTGGCTGGTCGGACTATACTTTCATCACTAATGACAACCTCTAACGTTGTAGGGTCAGACACCTCAATCTCATTGTCTTGAAATATTGCCACTACTTGTCTCTCTGGTGAGGGAATATCTGGGGGTATAGTTACTAAAAAATGAAAATTATTTCTACCTTAGATTTGTAGCTCAATGATTTCAAAAATCAACATATGACCTCTGACATAAACCTCTTTGTTACATATTTAAATAATGAGGGGCTTACAGTTGGCATCTAAGTTTATGTAATATTCAAACTCTTCTTGAAGTTTTTCATCACTAGCAAAAGCACATATACAAGCGTAAAAATGGACACATCTTTTGTGCAGATCTTCTTTGGGTCCTGGTTTTGTCTGGAAAAAAAAACATGATAAAGAACTGACACAAATATATATACACACACGTAAATATTTCTAAGTACAAGATTAAAACATTTTTGTCATAATGATCAATATTCCATGAAATAAAGTTACCTTAAAAGATCGACAAGTACACTGAAATTTATGCTCTGGCTGAGTTCGGTTTCTTGATGTCTCAAAAAAAGCAAAATGTAAAAACCCCAGCGGTTGCTTTGGACTGACTTTACATTTAACAACCATAATGTTCTTTGTGACCCTTTGCACCAGAGGTCCTGTGGTCTCTGTGGCTAGCAGCCAAATGGCCTGCTTAGTTTCATTAGGGACTTGCAAGGCATTTAGCACAGAATTTTTCAGAGTCAGAGGTTGAGCTTCCTGCTCACAATCAATAGCCGCCCGAATATGAGGACAAGACTCGTTCTGAAACCCTATCTGACTGTTTCGAGAACAACTGTCCACGTAGCATCGGGCTGCTTGGTATACAAGTGCCTGATCAACCACTGTAGCAGGATTTCCATCCATGTCTTGAAACAAAGGCAACTGTACAAAACCACGATAATCTGGTCCTCTATCTCGCAATCTCACAGAAAACACCTGAACAGTTGAGCCAGTCATAATCTTTACAGCATCGGCACTATGTCCTTTCTTCTTCTCTCTCTCTTTGAAAACAACATCACATGCTTTGTTTTTACAGCTTATTCCTCTTGTGCCATTATAGGTTCCACATTTGGGACATTTCCGAACTCCTCGCAATGTTGGTTTTCCTAAATCTTCAAACAACGTTTTTAGCTTGTCTGGTGTGGCCATTTCAAAGTCTGCAAAAATGAAAGGTTTTTTAATATAAATAACCTATCCACTTTGTTTAAGTTCAGTATTTTGGTAAATAAATACTAAGTTTCGAGGTGAATGAGTGAAATACATTATTTCCTATGTAGCTTGTAACACGAGCTTTGATTGGTTACAAAGTCGGGTGTAAATTTCCATACACCCGACTTGAGCCGGGGGGTAAAAAACATGACGTCACAATGCATAGTTTCTCTATGATGAAAAGCAAATAACATGACGTCATGATGCATTGTAGGACGTAGTAAATCTTATCGATAGCTTGATACATAGTTGATTGGACTTGTTTACAAAGAATTTATTTGAATACACAGGAAATAAATTTTTTTATCCAGGTCCAATCAAGGGTGTATGGGGATTTACCCGATTGTATTCCATACACCCTTCAGCCTTCGGCCTCAGGGTGCATGGAATAAAACCGGGGTAAATCCCTGTACACCTGGATAACTAATAAAATACATGTATCAAAATCATGAATTGTAGTTGGAATTGTGTGACGTCACACAGACCCTCATGGCGACTGATTCTTTTCGAGATGTCGTTAATGTTGGATTTAAGCGTCTAGTACGGCAACTGAGAGAGTAATCGGACCAGAAATCAGGTTAGAAACATCCACTGACATGAATTATACCGTGTGTTGTTGTTAGATTTATTAAATAAAGCGCCAGAGCAGAATTCGCCAAAAATACGTTGCATTCCTGTCGCTTCGCTCGCTACGCTCGCGAAGCTCACTGGTTGTTGTTTACGTTGCTTTATGGATAAAACTGCCGACTCCTTTGATGAAACACTGAATAATATGCTACTCCATACTCATCAGACTTGAAGCGGAAATAAATTCACTTATTCAATAAAAGCATTTTACTTTATGCTTCGTTTCTACCATGTTATAAATATAACACATTCATATTTATCAGGAAAACACATTTTAAATTTCACTTGCTGTTCAAAATACATAGATCATAGGCTAAAGTCATATCTAATAAGTTTCCCCTATATTTAACAGAGTTTCGGCATTTTGAGATTAAAACTGATGTTTTACAATTCATTTTATTTCATCTGTTCTTTGGCAAACGTACCTGTGGTTCTATATTAAATCTTCAACACAGATTTTCGAACAGAAAATTATCGTCTGAAATCCTTCGGCTCTTCCACCATGACAGCTACCTGCTCATAACGCGGTCAAGACGACAGAGCTGGTTGGATAATGCATGGCACATGATCTGCTGTCGCATTTCATTGGATAATGCGAAATAATAAGAAGAAAGTACAAATAGATAAGCGTCTGCAATCCCGGATAAGAGCCTCAAATATTACATGTATTCTCGAATCTAGATCATAAAATTACCCAGTAAATCGACCAAATTTTAAAATTTGTGTCAAAGAAAAGTTCCCTCAACCTAAATGAAAGCTGGGTCAAAATATCAAAATTTGATTCAAGAAATAAAACTTTTTTCCCCTAAGAATTAAAAAACGTTATCTAATTGTTATTTATTTTGTCCACTGATTAAATAGGAAAGTTGAGGGTGTCCTTAATTAATTTATGGCTATCAACACTTTTTTTTATACATTATTTTCCTCACTCTAGTTATTTAGGTCTCATTCAAAATTATGATACTAAATATCTATCAAACCTTGAAGATTTCCATTATTTATTATCAGGTATTTAGAATATATGTTTATGACATATTCTAACTTCTCTGCATAACATTGCATTATGACCTGTCTAAAACTTTGTTCTTCTGAATCCTTTCACCATCTGCAGTCACTTGACTCAAGTCATATAAATCTCTGCCTGAGAGCAAACTGAAATAAATTAATGTACTCAGAAAAGTATATGAATTTCTAATACATGTACTTATCCTGCAAAGGCCTGCATCACATTAAGTCACAACTGATCAAAGACTATGAAACTCACCTCAACTAATGTTATCTGTAAGTGAATTAAGGCAAATTAATTTAAAAACACACCAAATGATTTTTGTTGGTACATTGTACCATGCATTAATTAGGGGACCACCATTTGATTAGGGAGGAAGGGGGGAGACAAGGACAGATAGTTTATTTTCTTAACAATTTTTTACAGATTGTTCATTTTTATTAAAGGCTTAAGGGAGGAAATACCCCTCAAATTTTCTCCCCTGCATCCCTTTTTCCAGAAACCTGATGTCAACATTTTCATGGACAGATTATTCTTATCCAAATTCCCCCCCCCCCCCCCCCCCCAAAAAAAAAAAACAAAAAAACAAATGGTTCTCCCTTATAAATATATATGCAACATCTATGCAAGACTGGTACAAAAACTGTAACTATATATTTCAATTATCTGAAGATGAAGGTAGAACATCCAGGAAGGTCAGGTGCTGACTGCATCAGAAGCATAGTAGTGTTCATCCCTAGATGCTTCATTCATACAAGTTTGTTCCAAGAACAGCTTTTATTTAATTTACAAGGAACCTGCTCCAAAACCTTTTGATCACTTGTCTAGAAATACTACATCCCAGGTTACCTGGGAATGGACTTGCTCTGAAAACTCCCATCTTCCAAATACCGGTATTCAAGAATGTCTGGAAGTATGCATTGCTAGATGCACCATCTATGCAAGTACTCTACTAGTTTCTTGGGAATAAACCAACTCCAAAACCTTTTTTTAAAAAAAAACTTTTTATTGCACTTTCAATTTGGAAATGAAATTTACAAACATATAATATGTGTATTCACATAGATCAGTCATCTGCACTGCATACAGTTTCAATTAAATCATAGTGATTAGATATTTTTTTTCCACAAATACCTTGGTAGTGTTCAGATTGTTCTCTTTGTAAGAAATTTCCCACAGGTGATTTCAGTTTCTAATAGTCTGTGTCGCACGGACTGTAAAATCAACAGGGGGTTTCCCCTTCCTTAATTGCATTAATGTACAGGTATATAGTTTAAAAAAACTAGAAATATGTCCATAGGACATGAATGCCCCGCCAAGGGTATATTAGTAATACAACATTTTAACACAAATTGAGAAAAGTGAGGTCAAGGTCAAAGGAAAGGTCAAGGTCAAAAAATATTGATGCAGTTGAATAGCTTACATCAGTATGTATCAGCATATGACGTTTGATTCAGAAACTAATTTAAGAAAAGTGAGGTCAAGATCAAAGGAAAGGTCAAGATCAAAAAATGTTGATGTAGTTGAAAAGGTTACATCAGTATGTATTAACATATGAAGTTTGATGAAAATATTATGAATGGTTTCTTTAAAACTGAGCTAAACACTAATTTAAGAAAAGTGAGGTCAAGGTCAAAGGAAAGGTCAAGGTCAAAAAATATTGATGCAGTTGAATAGCTCTCATCAGTATGTATAAGCAAATGAAGTTTGACACTAATTTAAGAAAATTGAGGTCAAGGTCAAAGGAAAGGTCAAGGTCAAAAAAGGTTGATGCAGTTGAATAGCTTACATCAGTATGTATTAGCATATGAAGTTTGATGAAAATATTATGAATGGTTTCTTTAAAACTGAGCTAAACACTAATTTAAGAAAAGTGAGGTCTAGGTCAAAGGAAAGGTCAAAAAATATTGATGCAGTTGAATAGCTCTCATCAGTATGTATCAGCATATGAAGTTTGTTAAAAATATCTTGAATGGATTCATTAAAACAGAGCTAAACATTAATTTAAGAAAAGTGAGGTCAAGGTCAAAATAAAGGTCAAGGTCAAAAAAATGTTGATGCAGTTGAATAGCTTACATCAGTATGTATCAACATATGAAGTTTGATTACACTATCTTGAATGGTATCTTTAAAACTGAGCTAAACACTAATTTAAGAAAAGTGAGGTCAAGGTCAAAGGAAAGGTCAAGGTCAAAAAATGTTGATGCAGTTGCATAGCCCTCATCAATATCTATCAGCATATGAAGTTTGATAAAAATATCTTGGATAGTTTCTTTGAAACTGAGCTTTGAACAGAGCTAAACGCAAAGTGTGACGGAAGGACAGACGGAAGGACAGAAGGACGGAAGGACAGAAGGACGGAAGGACAGAAGGACGGAAGGACGGAAGACGGACATGACAAACACTATATGCCCCGGCCATATTCATGGCAGGGCATAAAAAATAGTTAGAATATGAAACATCATTGAAGAGATACCATTAGAACACCAGAATTTTGTCATCTGGGACTCACTCTTAGTTCAACTAGCTACAAAGCTTTAATGCTACAAATGTTCATGTATATACATGTCAGGGTTGTCCCTAAGAATTAAAATAGCAGGGGACATTCAAAAAGTAGAAGGGGGCCTGAGGTTCCTCCAATAACAGGGTGATGAGGGAAAATACCAGAGTAATCGGGGATTACGACATTATAGGCGGGGAAGTTCCCTGGCCCCTGGGTCTTTGGGACAACCCTGCATGTACATGTATGTGTATCACAGAGACTTTACTTATGATATAAAACTATACATAGAGACACATATTAGCATGAGATTATACAGACTAGTTCTCTTAAGCAGCACATGTATATCACAGTCCTGAAACAAGTCATTCAATCATTGACAAGAGCAAATATTATCACACATCTGAAACTAGTTTCAAGACACTTTCATTTTATAACATACCACTTGGCAAGTTTATAACTGTATAAACAATCCTCGACAAAAATAAGTCTAGTCATGGATCATTGCACATTCACATTTTATGTCCTACTTGTTTTATTATGTACAAGTATCTAAAGCTGAAAAATTCTTAATCTCTTAATCTTTCACAAAAAAACAACAACAATATATCCACCAGTTAAATGAACATCATGAGCACTTGAAATAAATATAAAATAACAACAGTCTTTTTAACTAAGACGTCACTATCTCCGTGCCTTAATCCTTAGGACTGCAGCCAGACAAATCATTTGGAAGGTACACAAGGTTTTTTTTTTTTTTTTTTAAATATCTAAATCACTTTTTTCAACTTGAAAAAGATTTTAATTTTTTATTATGAGGTAGAGGACTGTATGTCAATACTAGAAAACAAGTCCATATCATCCCAGGGAGAGGCTATAACCTGTGAACTCTGTACGGTTGATTGGTCAACCGGAACAGTCACCAGTTCCTCCACTTCCTGTAGCAAGGCCTCAGCTTTCTCATTCAGCAAAACCTAGAAAATGTAAACATGTGTTGTTTAATTAATAGTAACTGAATACATTTTTTTAAATTAATAATTTTAATTTCTATTAACTTTTATTCAAAACAAAAGAAAGCATATAAAATCTCTATCAACAAAGGTAGCCTAAAAAATACATCATTATTCACTCATTGAGGATGCATGTACATAAAAAATGACACATTTTCTTTGTAAATACAGAGAAGCCATAAAAATAAGCTTAGATGTAAAAATGTATTATGCATCCCTTTAAGACAAAATGTCTACAGCGAATTATTCAGCTGGGTGTCATGCATGTTGAAATACATATATTACAAAAACTTATCTTGTATAGAAATCAAATACTGAGAAAAAGACACTACAGCTCTATCTTTATGAGTTGTACAATTTTGCCACAAAAAAATTCCTACTTTTGCTGAAGCGACGATCTGTTTGGCCACTTTACGAGGGATCTGCTGTATGGATTTGACAAGGACCTCTGGATCAGCGGCTGCCACTAACGCAACAGACTGGAATCCGGCATTGTATAACTGCTTAGCTCGACCCTGTAGAATGTGAAAGACACTTTGTAAAGAATATCTTATTTTAAAATTCTTTCAATCATAAAATTAAAATAGTTTAAGCAACTAGTTCAAGGACATAAAGTAAAATCATGTAATGCGATTCATTATTTAGATCTATCATACACTGACAGAAACTTTATAGTTTTATTTTACACCTGCAGTTTGTACAATGTTATGCCAGTCACTTTACAATTTATCCTTCCAGATGTTGATATATTTCTGTTTAAAAAAAATTGTTTCCAAAATGAGGCTCTAGCCTAGTCCCCAAGTCCATGTTTTGAACAATCCTGAATCTTCATAACCTAATAATTAACTTACTGTGACCCTCCACTCATAAAAAATGATTTATAAATGTATTCCTATGTAAAACTTTGACCCCTTAATCCCTGCACAAAGGATTTGTGTGTCAATATGACTGATTCTGCCACTTCTGTTCTTGAGAAGGTTTTTCCTACATGTACATGTATCCCCACATAAAATTTTGATCCCATATTGTGGCCCCAACCTAACCCCACAGGCCATGATTTGAAAAGAAATGAATTTAAACTATGTTGAAATTTTTGTATGGGAAGATTTTTAAAAAGATTTTCCCTATATAACTTGTATTATAGTACTATATAAAACACTGACCCTCTTGCTACCAACCCTGGTGGGGGTTCAGGAATTTAACAAATCTGTAACTACACTATACTATATAAGGAAACTTGCATATCAATATGACTAACTGTACTTCAGCTGTTCCTGAGAAGAAGATTTATAAAGATCTTCCTAATATATTAGGAGGTTCAAGGACCATAATTTGAGGAAACTTCAAATTACAATTATCAAAGAACACTCATTAAGGAAGCCTTTACAAAAGTTTTGTCTTTTCTGGCACACTGGTTCAAGATTTTAAAATGACCAAACTCTATTTTCCTTCATTTTCTCCCCTTGAAAAATGGAGTGGTTCATCAAACATATTTGAATCTGCATCAATCAAAATGCTTAGTGGTTATGGAGAAGAAGTCGAAATGTGAAAGTTTACAGATGACACATGACAGACAGATGGACACTTAACACTTATTGATCAAAAAGTTGGCTTGAGCCTTTGGTTCAAATGAGTTCAAAGTTGTCAAATTAATTATGTTCCGATGGGAGCCCTGTATTATATTATTCCAAAGAAACATGAAGTCTAACATTTGAGCTTTATATAAAGAAAATTTGTGATGATTAATGAAAATAAAGTAAAACTTGTCTAATCCAGACACCACTGGTTCCATAGAAATTGGCTGCATTAGATAACATTCCTGATTAGACAACATTTTTTATCAATGGATTTTACTGAAAAGGACTTTCAGTAAACATTGTCTACATCACAATAGGCAAGATTTCAGAATACACAACATCCAGATTAAACAAGTTTTACTGTACATAATTATGTACCAGTTTGACGCCAGGTATTTCCATGAGCGGCAGGAGTTCTGCAGATACACAATAAGCCAGGCGCTTGACAAATGTTCCTAGTAGTTCTTGATAGGCCCAGAATTCCTCTAACTCCTGCAATGATTAGAGACAATTTGTCAAATACAAGTACTAAAACAGCAGTATGTACTAAATGTACACTTCATAATGTTCATATACACACATATAATAAGGTTTACCAACTTTTATTTTGAGTACCAAAAATATCCCAGTTTTGTGACCTTTACCCAGTTGCAGAAATTAGTAGTCACAGATGGATTTCAAACTGAAGAATCTTGAATAAACGTTGTTGTAACAAAAGTTGGTTTACAGTATATGTAGTTGATGTATCATTATGTACATGCATAAATACACCACATGAATTGCAAAAATATGTGTGGTTGCCCCATTTCTTCAAGTTTTACATGGCCAACCAGACCCCAGTGTCCATATTTTGAAAAAAACAAAACTTAAATAATCTTCACCACATAAGGATACTTTCACACAATTACTATGCAGATGGGTCTTCAGAAGAAAAAGTAAAATAAAATTATTCAAGGCTGGGCTCTTTTACGTTTGGTTGAAATTGGCCAAGTGGAGAGGCAGTTAAAAATGACAGAGGTTCCCAGACAGATGACATGCAGGATCCAATCAATAACAAACTATGATAACGTAGAACATGCTCACCTGAAGTTTCAGATCAAGGGAGCTAAAATATTGATTATGATATAGAATGTGGTAATATACCTGACAGAAGTGATAAACACATGTCGCAAAACTAGCTGCTCCAGAAAGGAGGTTCTGGACAAAGCCCCGAGGATATTCAAATTTTTCGGCGACTTCCCACAATGACTTTTGCTTCCAGAGATCGTACAACATCAGGGTCAGGTAGAAGCGCTTGACAACAAACTCGTCAACAGCCTTCAAAATAAACAATCAGGTTGTTCAATACAAATTAAAAATAAACTTCTCATCTGTCTTAAAAATGAAAAAAAAAACAACAAACTAATCTTTACAAAAATTTAAAAGATGCCAGGCACAAAATATCATATGTTCATGTACATGTAGTGTACACATGTCTATCTTTTCAGAAACAAATTTAATATACCCAGTGACATGAAAAGGAACAATGAGCTGCCAAAGTTTTAGGTGATTATTGTACATTTACTTGTAGATTTGAGATTGGAGTTATGAATTTCACACACAGAAGCTGTATATACCTGTCTTGTGTATTGGCCCGAGGCTTTCTTTGCTACATAAGATTCGGGTACACCTATCAACTCAGCCACCTTCAGCTCCACAGGAGTCAACATACTTATCTACAAAATAATACAAATATGTGATACACTGACATCTTCAATGTGACAATTAAATACCACTCCTTTTAGATTCAGCTTCAGAAATGAAGGAGTCTCTCTTGCTAAACAATGTTTATACTATATATACATAAAAGAAACTCACAATTTTATATAAAAAAATAACTTTGTTTCGTTAAGCATCTTCTTGTCTAAAAAAAACCTAATAAATCTTCCTGAAGCAAACATGAGTTAGAATTCAATCAATTCATTCGGTTTTATATGCAGAGTACATTAAATATGTCAGAACTCTTGTTGAAAATACTGCATCACTTGTGTAAACTTGAGCAACACTCCCACTTAAACTTATTCACCAAGTTCAAATGATTTTAAATGACCTGCTGTGTTTGCAATGAAGGATATGTGTGTTTCTCATGAGTTCCTTTGATTGACTTGATTCAAAGAAAAGGAAAGAGAAACAAGGTCTATCTATGGTGTACTTAAACAGAAAAGACACACTGTAGTCTAGTCTGCTCTGATGACACCAACTTTGTACTTTAGTGATGACCTATACATACAATCATGTAGAAATACATTATTTAATCTACTTTGAAGATACCAACACTGTTCTCAGTTTAGCAATGACCTGTACTTGGAATGCTTAGGAGACTTAAGAAGAGGTTCCAACTCATTCTTTTCAACAAGAAACTTTTTGGGACACATTAACATGGGAGTGCTTGTCCATACTTCCACAAAATAAAAGGGAGGAAGCAACTTTTTCACTTAAAATTTTCATACTAAATTAACAGCAACAGAATATTTTGGGTAAACTACATGCCTGCAAGAAATCTAATTTTACTCACTGCTTGTTCAAAGGAATACCACCCTTAAGAAAAAATTCTGTTTACTTTAAATTCTGATTATGAATTTTTTCTTTATATATATATACCTGTTTGAAATAAGTCATCCATGGTGGTTGAACTTCCTTGACAAGGTCATATGGGGTCACAAGGAACAATAAATGTAGATAGCTAGCAAGAACCAGAGATTCTTCTGCCTTCTTCAAGTCTTTATACAACTGAGCAGAAAAGTCCAGATCAACTGATCCTGTAAAAACAGAAAGTCCAGATCAACATGTTCTATTAATACAGTAAAGTCCAGATCTAAAGATCCTGTAAATACTAAAAAGTCCAGATCAAAAGTTCCTGTAAATACTAAAAAGTCCAGATCTTAAGATCCTGTAAATACTAAAAAGTCCAGATCTAAAGATCCTGTAAACACAGAAAAGTCCAGATCTACAGATCTTGTCAATAAAGAATAGTCCAGATCTACAATCCTGTAAAACAGAAAAGTTTGCATCTAATGATCCTATAAATACAGGTAAGCCTGCAGCTAAAGATCTTGTAAATATAGATACATGTAGGTTTACATCTACAGATCCCATATACATGTATTCAGAAAAGTCTATATCTTCAGATCCTGTTTATACAGGAAAATTAACTTTTGATATACATGTATCAGATTAAAATGTTTGAGGAAATTTATGTCAGATCTAGGTGTTCCATCTTAAATGAAAGAAAAAGTGAGCAAGCTCACATACCCCACACTCCCCTAAAACTCGTAATGAATGGCACAGTGCATTTTAAATACACAGTATAATTCAAAAAGGGGCATTACTTGCAAAAAATCATCACATCAAAACTTCTTGCATGGACATTCAAATCTTTGTATGTTACAAATTTAATTGAGCTGAAGTTTCTATTTAAATAATGGAATCAAAATTTCTTGGAAATATACACATCTATACATTATGTCTGAAGTTTCAGGAAATTCAGTGCAGGAGTTATGCTGACAATCTGTTATTTAAATTCCTCAGTGATTTCGATTTGTTAATGAGTGTAAGTCCATGTCCAACATATGACATTTTACACATTTAAATAATTGATGGAAACAAAATTATGATGTAGTCATATGAATTTGTTTATATACTGTACTTATGAAAATATCTAAGGCAAAGTACCAATTTGAGGGGGGGGGGGGGGGGGGGGGGAGGAGAACTATCCAAGATTTTGTGTGTGAGTGTGTGTGTTAAATCATTAATATTTTGATCTCAAATTCAATAGGGGTCTTTTAAGGTCATAAAATTTTTCACATAAAATTTCATTACAAAAGCTGATTCCAGTGGATTTCCTTATTACCTAGCTGGAAAGTTACTTCAATAATAGATAAAACTCTTAAGGCAAAAATTACGGAATCAGAATTTCCTGGTAATATGCACATCTACACACTGTGTACTAAATATCTGCGAAGTTTAACAAAATTCTGTGCAGCGGTTTAAGAGGAGTTGCACTGACAAACTGTTCTTCTCTATATTCAAGATATGGCCAAAAATCTAATTTGAAAAGTGCCGAAATTCCCAGAAAAATAATGGAATTCGAATTTCCTGGTAATATACACATCTACACATTGTGTGCTAAATAACTGCAAAGTTTTATGAAATTCTGTGCAGCGGTTTAAGAGGAGTTGCACTGACAAACTGTTCATCTCTATATTCAAGATATGGCCAAAAATCTAATTTGAAAAGTGCCGAAATTCCCAGAAAAATAATGGAATTCGAATTTCCTGGTAATATGCACATCTACACATTGTGTGCTAAATAACTGCAAAGTTTTATGAAATTCTGTGCAGCGGTTTAAGAGGAGTTGCACTGACAAACTGTTCATCTCTATATTCACGATATGGCCAAAAATCTAAGTTGAAAAGTGCCGAAATTCCCAGAAAAAATAAAGGAATCGGAATTTCCTGGTAATATGCACATCTACACATTGTGTGCTAAATATCTGCAAAGTTTGATGAAATTCTGTGCAGCAGTTTATGAGGAGTTGCGCTGACAAAAAAAACAGGACTGACGGACTGACTGACTGACACACTGACTGACGGACGAGTCAAAAACATTACACCTCACACAACTTGTTGCGTGGGGTATAAATACCTTTGAATGTGGCTCGTCCCAGAGGTGTAACTTCCAGTGTGTGGGGGAGTGGGGAGTTTTCTTTATCTTGTGATAGCATCCTTATCTGTCTCACTAATCCCATGTCAATCAAGTGCTGAAGAGCATCTTTTGTCGTGGCAACAATGTCACATGACAACTGAGAAGCCTGGATGGATAGTAATGTGCGAGTCATCATTTCAAAAACTTCCTCTGTTGTCTTGGTGACCTGAAAAATGAAGAAGATTTCTGTGTTCAAGGTCTGGATGAAAAACTATCAATTACTGAACTCACTCGAAAACATATTGTTGATTTATTATATCATGAATATTTTTGTTTATTTACATTTATAATACACGTGAACTTATCTTCAAGATCCATATCTTGAATACCATGGATATGTGAAAGTGAGTTGAAAGTTCCAACATTTTTTTTTTAAATTTATTTTAACCTCTGTATTTCAAAACCTTTACTACATATCTCAAGTTTTTTACTTCCTACTCATACATGTAGGTCAACTAAGAGAAACATAAAATTTGTATCAGACCTTAACTATATGACATTTTTCTGAAATTATTTTGATAAGACAGTTCCCTCAGACTACCTGTAGACCTATGGTGGACAGGATAAGAGATCTGATTCCTTTTCCATCCTCATAATTGAGACTGCTGTAACAGTTCTCCAGGGGACCACTAATTATCTCCCACACCTGAAAAAGAGGATTTCAGTACAAAAAATATGTGACCAGATGTATATGAACTAGTAGCTGTATTTTATACTCTAAACCAACTTTTATTCATAAGCGAGAATTATTGGCAAGTTTTGCACTGAAGTATGAAGATAATGAACAGTAATCAAGCTCAAAAGTTCATTGAAAAAATACAAATTGTGAGCAGAGCAAACATGGACCTCAAAAACTATCAGAAGTGGGATCAGGTGCCATGGAGGAGTAAGCATCCCCTGTCGACCGGTCACACTCTCGTGCTCCTTGTAATGATTGGGTAAACCGAAATTCAGTGTGATGATAATAAATTGGATATGTTTCGCTGTATAATTTTTATCTCATGCCAAAAGAGATGTCATTCAGTCCTTGGGACTGACAATAAAGAATGCTCTCCCCTGTTATATATAGAGATGATTACTTACACCTGTCCTTGGGACTGACAATAAAGAATGCTCTCCCCTGTTATATATAGAGATGATTACTTACACCTGTCCTTGGGACTGATAATAAGAATGCTCTCCCCTGTTATATATAGAGATGATTACCTTACACCTGTCCTTGGGACTGACAATAAGAATGCTCTCCCCTGTTATATATAGAGATGATTACCTTACACCTGTCTTTGAGACTGACAATAAGAATGCTCTCCCCTGTTATATATAGAGATGATTACCTTACACCTGTCCTTGGGACTGACAATAAGAATACTCTCCCCTGTTATATATAGAGATGATTACCTTACACCTGTCCTTGGGACTGACAATAAGAATACTCTCCCCTGTTATATATAGAGATGATTACCTTACACCTGTCTTTGAGACTGACAATAAGAATGCTCTACCCTGTTATAAATAGAGATGATTACCTTACACCTGTCCTTGGGACTGACAATAAAAATGCTCTCCCCTGTTATAAATAGAGATGATTACCTTACACCTGTCCTTGGGACTGACAACAAGAATGCTCTCCCCTGTTTTATATAGTGATGATTACCTTACACCTGTCTTTAGGACTGACAATAAGAATGCTCTCCCCTGTTGTGTCTTTGCCTGCCCTTCCTGCTCGTCCAATCATCTGTTTATACTGACTCCTGTTGAGGAACTGTGTACCAATGTATGGATTGCGCAATATCACTCTGAAAAGTTCAATTTACATATACCTACATAGAGAAACGGTTTTCAACATAAATCAATAAAAAATCAGTTCACATAAATCAAATAAAAAATCAGTTCACATAAATCAAATAAAAAAATCAGTTCAGACTGGTGTTCGAAATCTGTACTTAGTGCAAATTATGACCTTAGGACAAACTAGACTGGTATAGAGATCTTTTTTGTTGGTAGTCTGGTATAATGACTTTCGGGTTATTATACTGACCTTTTTGCAGGAAGATTGACACCAGCAGCTAGTGTAGAGGTACAAGCCAGGAGACACAGTACACCATCAGAGTATGCCTCCTCCAGTAGATGGCGCTCATCTGTTGTCAGACCACTATGGTGGTATGCTATACCAAAATGTATGGTATGCTGAAGCACAGGACACATTCTCTGTTCCCCATCTTTGTACAGTTCCTTCAACAAATCTTTTCTTTCTTGTCTTTTCACTTGACTTAGTTCTCTTTGTTGAATAAAAAAAATTATAAATTCATTTTCTAGGGAGACAAGTTTCAATTTGTTGATTTGAATAAAGCCATAATGGCAATAAGAAAGTTCAACAAATTCAAGAAATATAATTAAAAATTTAACACGTTTCATTTTTGTATTTCACTTGTGTTTCATATCCCTTATTGCTTGCATTTTAAATTCCTACCACTTAGATTTCATATCTTTATTGATTACATTTCATATCCTTAACCCTTGTAATCACTTGTACTTCCTATCCTTACCTCTTGTATTTGGCCATTAATTTACTCAGCATCAGGGCAACATTTTCACAGTTTTTCTTGGTGGAGCAAAAGATGAGACAGGAGTGTTGTGGGACAACCTCTGTCACAAGACCTAGGAGGTGGTCCGGGTCCATTTTGTTCATCTCTGGACTGTACTGAAATCAAATTCCATCAGCTGTACATTTATCCACAACAGAAAGTTAAAATCAAAATCAAACAGATACATATGTAAATCATATACTGTAAAATCACTAATTTTTGTGGGTGGGTGGGTGTTGTGTGTGTGTGTGTGGGGGGGGGGGGGGGGGTTAATTTTTGGTGTTTTCAAAGTATGAGGAGACCCACAAATTCATGTCTACCATGAAATGTGAAATGTAGAATTTCAAACTAATCACTATTCACTTCTCTTACCACAAAATCAAATCCCCACAAATAGACTTGACTAACTTAGTGTAGTTTAATTGTGTTTTAATTTTTACTACTGTAGGTAAAAAGAAATTTTTTCCTCAAACCTTTAAAATTTGACCCCACGAAATTATGTCATTTTACAGTAATCTCCTCTGAGACAAATTTTCATAATGTAAGCACCTTTTTACTCTGCGCTTTTAGCAGTCTTACTTATAAAATCTCATCAACATGAAACAGAGAACTACATGTACATCAAGACCATAAACTGAGAAGAGAATTAACTCAAAATTTAGATTTTGAATATTTTGTCTTCTATTGAACAAACATATTTAAACACTCATAAGTTTGAATAATATTCAAATACAAATATATAATGCAAATTTCATTTCATTTTCAAAATAATGTATATAAATATTTCCAAGGTTATATTATCTTGCAATTTTGACTCAGTTCCAGGACTTGCGAATCATAGCAAAATTTCTCAGGGAATGATTTAAAAGTTTTTCTGAAGCTTAACAATCCTTGGTGTCTTAGTTATGCAGACCTCTTCTCTCGTGACTGACCTGGAAAGCTACGGTCCGTTGATGATGTAAACTTTCCTGCAGAGTTTGACCTTTCTGCACTTCAAAAATGCTGTCATCCAGTTTCACATGTTCAGTAAGCTTGACCTAAATAAGTAGATTATGATGTTTTGATAAAATTTAAGTCTTGTAATGTTGCTAATGAAAAAGCTAAATGAAAAATATAACCTGTGCCAAGAAAAATAATGCACTGATATTTCATAACATGCACAAGGATTCCTTACTGGACGGAAATCACTGGAGAAAATGTCAGCTTTAAGGAATGTCAGGAGATCGGTTATATTATTCAGGGTAGCACTCATTCCAATTATCTGTGTGGAAGCTGAAAGGGGGGAAAAAAACTCATATGACAACATGTCTGATTCACTTTATATTTTAAACAGTTAATTTCTTAAACTTACACTGATAATTTACATGTAATTAATTATTTTAAGTTTTAATAAGGCTACAGAATCCCCATTGATGATTATTTCCATGCAATTCACAACTCATCACTCAACACCCAAAAACCTTCTGATGTACTGGTAGCTGTTTTTCAATTATTTTTTAAATTTCTGATGAGTGCCAGAGGATCAACAACATCTCACTTTTGAAAGCTGATTTTCTTTGCATCTTAAGTTGGAATCATAATGATTCTTAACTTGGTTTGAAGTGAGGCTAAAAGGCAGGTGGCCGTGGGATGGTAGTATGGTGTGAGTAAAATCTGGAACTGGAAGAAGCACTTACCTTTGGCATAGATAATTTTCAGAAGAGTGGCTTCTAAACGGGATCCTCGACTTCTCCCCTCACCAATCATGTGAAGCTACAAAGAAAACTGGTCCCCCTGATGATAGGATTAAACCATGATGGACTTCCCACGCAGTTGAAAATGTTTCAAGATATGAACTTTAAACACTAAAATTTTGTCAGCACTAAGTAATTGGCTCTCCAATTATTGTATTCCTAGTACATCATGCCTCTCTGATTACAAAATAAATGTCAAATATATCTTTATCACCACCAGCAAATTGCCAAAAGGGCAAGACACTCCCTATTGTTAAATTATAAATTCAAATTTTCTTTATCACAGATTAAGTCTTGAATTTTTCCACAAAGAATACATGTACTCCAAACCAAAGATCTGTGATGAGAAATATTTGTGAGAAATATATGCGAGAAAAATATGGTTTGAGGCCAGTGGATATTTCTCACAAGTGAATAAAAGTTGTTTTACATCATCTCTAAAAGAGTTTGTTGAAAATAAGCCTGTGTGTCAATTACCTCATCCACTACTACCAAACCCAGGGAACCCAGTCTCCCCTGCTCTATCAAACTGTTCACTAGAGAGTGAGCTTTCTCTATGGTAGCTACATACAGGGACCTTTTTCTGTGTTTAATGGGAGGAAATTTGCCTTTACTGCCAGCATATTCTTCCACCAGGAAGTCTAACTCCACAGCTAATTGGGCCATTCCTTTGACCTGTGTAGGTAAATGTAAAACATTTATTTATCAGTGTTTATAATACATGATATAACATTCATTGAGCAGGGTTTATTTTAAGTTTTCATTCAAATCAGTGTTTAACTATTTCTTATATAAAAAAAATGTTTCACTGTTTACTTATCAAATCATCTCTTCAATGACCAGTACTGATCATTACATATTTCTTACTCCCTGAATCTATTTCAAAGAATTTCTATAAAATAAATATGGATACACTCAATACCAAATGTAAACAACCTTTTCCTGGACAATGGACACAAACGGAAGAATCATCATGGCGTCTTTCTTCCTACACAGCATTTCCTTCAGAATTAGGACCTCTGCCACCAGAGTCTTGCCTCCACTAGTAGGTAAAGAATAAACCAGATTACCTCCCCTTTGCAGTGTTGGAAGTCTCAGGCACTTGTCCTGCCACTCTGAAATACATGTACATATTATACAGTGCATATTACTGCCATTCTTTAATATCAGATACCACATACAGCATTATTTTTCTTGAAGTCCTGTTTTCTCTAATTTATGGTTACCGGTAAATAAAACTATGAAAATAAAACTACCAGTTTATTATTTTCAACATAGAAGAGAAAGAAAAAAAAATGAACTCAAGCAGGAGAAAAACAAGTCTGTGATATGCTTTTCATCGAAATCAAAGCTACAAATAGTATCAGTACTTTTATCTACCTAGTATGTATAATTTTTTGTTTTTTCAAAGAAAATGGACAGACTTTAGAAAGTCAAATAAGTACCATATAGTGAAGTTATTCCTCTCTGGGTCTGTAACAGCTGTTGGACTTTTGATGGCAAACCATAAAATGGACCAATGTCACTGGCAGATCCTTCTCCTTGTATAATGGCCACCTCCCTCTCTACCTCTTTTAATCGGCTCTGTCTTCCCTGCTCAACTGTCTGGGCAGGACTAACGGGGGATTTAGTCCCAACGTTCTGTAGTAATTTTCTTTTTAATCGATCCCTTAGTGATCCCACACTATTGACAGAATTAAAAACTTCTCCACTTTTGAACTGATCTGAAGATTTCTGTCCTATATACTTGACCTCTTTTTCAGTATTATCATTGCACACGGATATATGGGGTTTTGAATTTCTATCACAGACACTTTTTTGTATAGTACTCTGAGTTTTACCCTTTAAATCACAATCACCATTTTGTATACTGTTCCTGCAATTTTCATTGACAAAAACTTTTTTTTCATTAGGCCTACATTTAGGCGACAAAATCACGCAATCTCTTTTAACTTGTTCGTTCAAAACACTTTCATTTTTTGCTGGCTCTTCTGAAACAGTGTCTACAAAATCAATGGAGTTTTGACTCTCAATGGACTCCACATGGCTCAGAAAATCTTGGTCTTGAAAACTCTCTTCAAAGAAATCCTTCTCTGAGTTGTTATCCGAATTATCCTGTTCTGATGGTTTCCCTGGTGGTTTTTGTTCTCCATTTGTCAAAGGAAACTCCAGCCTACTGCTTTCTTTCCCCTTGTCTGCACTCAAATCTCTGACATCCACCGCAGTTTCTTTCAATTGTACATCCACTTCATGTTGAATCTTGTTCCCCTTGAAAAAAAAACAAACAAACAATCAGTACAATAACACCATAAAATATCACACAAGATTATTTATCATTGCTTCATTTTTGTGAGACAACAGAAGTTTCAGAACTGTATTGATGTGTTACACATAATTTTCATTTGTATCCTCCATAAGCGGTAATTAGAATTACTTGACCCATTGACCCATGGGCTTTATTTCTGTGAAAACACAATCTTGTGAAATTACCGGTATGTGTAGATTAATGTGATATAAATCTGATATACTTCACATTGATGGAAAATGACAATTTTGTATATATTTTACTGTAGTGGCACTAAAGGTAATTTTATTTCCTCTGTTGAAAATGTTGACCTGGTTACAACATCCAATAAAGTACACTAAACATACTATGATAACAAACATGTAAGTGTTGTAAACCTTTGAACTTTTGCCTGCACTGCAAAATGAACTTTCAAACCATCCCTGTTCTTGACCATGTTGACCACTAGTCACTGCAGCTGTTGCCATGGTTTTGATGATTACATCGTCCTTCAAAGATCTCTCTACCTCTTTATCAGATTGTCTAAAGTATTTCGATGTTTTCTTGACCTGATCTTCACTTACGTCATGGCTGGGACGTCGCTTTCTGGCACCTAGCAGTTTTCTTTGTGGCCCATTTTCTGTCTGTAGACTTGGCATTGCCAGGGCCATCATGGAGCGAAAAAAACTTTAATACCCACAGGTTTCAGTCAAACCCTAATGCACATGGTCTGGAATTAGAATTATTAGATGCAATTTAGTAAATAATTTATAAAACATTAAATCAATTATTCATGTTCATGAAGATTTTTTTTCTTAAAAAATATGAAGATATAGGTAACATTGTACAATCATTCCTTCCATGTTTAATTTACTCCTCTTTATACTGCATGGCAAGATTAAAGATGGTTTTTAATTTCTTGATATTTTTTTTCTCCAAATAAATTTAATCATCATATTTAAATATGTTCATGTCACACAATTTTCCTAGTGCATTTAATGTAAAATGGAATTGTGTCTGTTAAAATTATCCTTTCTAAGAAGTACATGTAGTTAAAATTTTTCATAGTTTTTCTCATCAGTTTGTGTTACTATATAATTTTGTATACCTTGGTTTTCTCATACTCAGAGGAGGATGACTCCTTATCAAAGTCAACTCAAACAATTTTTCTTATCAAATTTTAATTATATTTTCATTGCAAATGCATGATTCTTATCAATTCTTAAATTTGTTATATTTATTGGGTAGCACACAACAAAGCTGATGAGAGACTTTTTTCTGATGACTATTGTAGAGAAAGACTGAAAATGTCATCTCTCATTGCTCTTATCTGCTAAACACAGATAACAATAGGGTGTAGATTTTTAGTGTTATTAGCCACTTGGTGTATATATACATATTCTAAATGTGACCAGGTGCTGTCCTGCAAATAAATTCAACTCAAGTTGTCCCTAAGGTTTGAAATAGCAGGGGACACTAAACAAGTAGAAGGGAATCTGGAGTTCCTCTCCTAAAAGGGAATTGAGAGGGAATACTAGAATAACCAATGGATAATGTCATCATCGGTGGGGAAATTCCCCCGTCCCCAGGTCTTAGAGGGACAACCCTGCCACTGAGATCTCGAAGTAACTCACCAGTCATTATATTTACTGTGAATAGCACAAGTACTTGGGTCTTTGTTTATAAATATATAATTACATTTCCAATTATTTTCACTTAAGATACAAATTAGAATACAGTTTATTTTCTCATGAACTACCATGGATGAGAATGATTATCTTTTTGTTACGTCATAACACCGTACTTGATGTCAAAACTATAGTGCAAACTGTTTTGTTTTAAAAAAGGCAATGGAATGGCATAACTTGCGCCAACTTATCATATAAATAATGTTAATATGAGATATGAATTCAATTTTTGAAGATTCATGAGGTACATGAACTACAAGGCTTCACACCAGCATATTTATCATCATATCATGAAGCACTAAGGCGTTTCATGAAATATGCTGACGTGAAGCATTGTAGTTTCATGTCCTCATGAATTTTCAAAAATTAAATTCATTTCTTAAGCATATACTTATATGTAAAAAAGAGGAAAGGTATGCAGACTCTGTAAAGGCATCTGCTCCACTTACTTGTTTACACGGCTTGTTCTTTGAAAATAACGCTGCACCTACAGCATTCATGCACCTGTCGTCTTGGAATATTGATTACTTATCGTAATATAATATAATTTTGATTGTAACGTGTCATTTGATTGGATGAAAAATTTAGTTTATAGCGCATAACCTGTGTTGCCTATATCACAATGACTTACGTCAAAAACGTATCAATCTGCTTGACATTACATTTAAAATATGTACAATTTGAAAATATTTCTGAAGGAGAAATTGTCTTATTTTCTACAATGATGGAAAATTAAATTATAAGGAATTAATTTAATAGCTACTCAAGTTATACTGGTATATAACCTGGTACCCAAGTACCTGTGGTGACTGGTGAATGGATCATCGTGGTCTCACTTGCAATTTCCTGTGCGCGGTATATTTATGCTTCAAAGCATTTCTCTTATGCAAAGAAACACAATGATGAATTTCTCTTACAGAGAATACATGTAATCAGGTTCAGCGGTGTATGCATCCCTTTCCGTCTGCGAAAATTCGGACTAGATCGACGTAAACAAATGATACCGTTCTGTTTTCTTCTGTAGAAGTGTGTAGTATCATAATCGTCTTATCTTTTTCTGTAAATACACATGACTTTCTGTAAATGTCTGACACTTTGACAAGTTAGAGGTCTGGCTAACGCCAAAATTTATGCTAATGCTTTCACGATAATGACGATTTACTGTCTGTCTTGCTTCGAATCCTGCAGCACATATTCAACATCAATTATGATTGGATGAAAATTTACCGGATATCGAAATGTAATGGATAATTTCAAACTGTTGACGTTCAGAAATACGGCATATGTGGTGCCCCAAAAATTGAATATTAAAAATCAAGAAAATTTGTCCAATTAAAAAAATACAATAATATAATATTTTTTGTTATCACGAAGCCAAAAAAAACATGTATGTAATATATGTTTGTTTTTTTTAGATAGTACGCAAAATCTGGTACAAAGAGAAAGCGAAAATAGGTCTGCTATAATGTGTTTTCCGAAAAGACTATAGTTTTCTTGCATTACATGAAATATAATGGCCTCCTATTTTCCGAAAATTTTAAACTAAATAAAAAGGCTATATAGAATTAAATGTCTGTTGAACATAATTTGGACACAAAGCTTTACCTCTCAGACCCCCAGAACAACGAGTCAACATGAAATTTGGTATTTCACACGTAACATCCAGATAAAACTAAAAAAAAAATCATAAATTAAAATTAAACAAATCAAGGTCACGGAGGGCGTAGGAGAGCACCATTTAATTCAGGAGTGGTGATGGTGGCTGATTAATATAATATTAAAATCTCTCCTTGATAATGATGAAAATAAATAATCTGTGCTCCACTGGGAAGAGAAAAAATAATGGAACCTTGACTGGTTGTATCCTCCAACTCCAACCCACCCTCTATATCTAAAGAGAAAGATTTTGAGTTGCGCAGATTTTCTTTTTTTCACATTATTGTCAACCTTTTCTTAGCGGAGATAAACTTAAGATAAAGATGGATAAATTGATCTCCAATTTTCATAGAAATAAATAATTATTAATCTGTCCTTCACTGAGTCAGCATGAAAATTAATAATCTGACTCGAAAAAAAAAATAAAACACCAGCCCCTCCTCTCTCTCTTTCTCAGAATCAAATGGTCTTTATTATATGATAGGGTAGCTCTCCTTGAAAAATAATCGGAAAATTTTATTTCCCATAAATGAAGCCACAGTTTTGCAACTATAAAGATGGGGTGGGGCTATTCAAACCCCTTCGATCTTCTTTGGACTGCCCCTTCTCACATAGATACACCCATCGTTCACTTGTACCCATGCATTGTCTGGCTAATCAAAAAGCAATAAGACCATTGATTGAAAAGTCACCAAATTGGTCTCAAAGTGTTTTGAACTCTGAGTCGAGTGTTGGCCCGAATTGTTCATTATACAATTTCTAAACCAAGGCAGGGTATTGATAATTAAGTTGATGTTACAAGGGTATCAACAATCTCGGTTAAAGTCAACATTTGTGCAAATTCTACGGTCGTTACATTGACTTTAGGCCATTTTAATACATACTTAGGTGTTGTTTTTTTTTACCCAATCAAGACAAATGATCCATTGCGGGTGTTAGCGGTCAGTAGGGGATGCTTACTCCTCCATGGTACTTGATCCCACCTCTGATCTTTTCAGAGGCCTGTGTTAACAATGCTCTCATTTTGCATCGTTTATTTGGACTTTTGAGCATGATTAATGTTCGTTATATATATGTGTTTAAATTTTTGCGTACTGAAGCATTGAAAGTGTGAACGCATTTAAAATTAGTGTATTATATTTCAAATACAAATAAAGTTCTAAAAAATGATGCACTCAGATTGTACAAATTAAATGATGTATGTTACTTAGTTCAAATCATGAAGATTTGCCTTTCAGATTTTTTTTTCTTCCAAAAAATGGTGTACCAATATATTGGAAACGTTAAATTAAATTAGCTTTGCCTATAATGGATTACATTTCAAATACGTTCTGTTCGTTTCCACGAAAATTAACAGAATCATATCTAAAGTGTATACATAGCAGACAAGAATATGCTATTATAATATCTAGTCTAACTACACTGGAATAATTTACTAGCCAATATCAATATATTCTAGGGACTAACACATAAATATTCGCATTATCATATTTTGTGTTTGAATGAAGAACCTTAGGGTGATATTTGCCAGATTGTAAGTTAAATGGTAAGTCATTATAAAATGTTCAATATCTATACTTTTCTGTGAGTGACAGTGACCACTTTTTTACATGTATATATACATGTGCATGTATATTTTTTTATACTCCTTTTTGCTAGAAAGCCAGTTCGTTTTATTTAGAAGATTACTCTGCCAATTAAGCCAGTATTGAAAATGAAAATAAAAATGCATTGGAAAAAGTCCATGGGTTAATTAAACGGTGAGGTAAAAAGTAGACATAATCGCGCTTTTCCTTTTTTCTTTCTTTCTTTCTACTCTTCTTCTTCTTTCAGTTCAATCAGAAACCAGATTCAATCATATACCAGAATATTGCACACCATTAAATTTCGATATTTTGTCAGTAGAAACCTCTATTTATCTATTCATCCAATCACGTCTCCTTATTTTTTCCGAAACGGAATCCAAGAAAAGCAATTATGTTACAAAAATAGAAAAGTGATGTCATGCGAAATAAATACGCGGGCAATACCATTTAATTAGTTAAGCAACTTAATTTATACTCCCAAGTGCTTCCGCTCTTAAGTTGACCAGTTACCACTTTTCATTACAAGAAAACACTGGGAAATTGTCAGGTATATAAAAAATAATTATAATGTGCATTATTAAGTTATTAATTACCCTAAGATCAGCTCCTCTCATTATAGCCCCGAAACCAGCGTTTTTGATGAGTAAATCCAGCAAAGTTGAAAAAAAGAGTGACTCTTATATTCCCCGAAAGACAGACGAAGGGCCTGATTGACCATGAAATTCGGACAAAGTACCTGCCATTAAAAGACATAAAATGATACAAGGGTGGATCCAAGAATTTTCGGGGGGGGGGGGGGGTCCAAAACCACTTGGAAAAAAATTGACTCAAGACATTTTTCTGACCATCCAACAAAAGGGGGAGGAATGATTAAAAAAAATCGTATGGGAATGAAGAGATACCCGACTCTCAACAATTATTATTAAAAAAAAATAATTAAAAACTATCTAGTAAAAAAAACAAAAAAACAACAACAACAACAAAAAAAAAAAAAAAAAAAAAAAACTATCTCTTGGGGTGGAGGGATGCATCTTTCTTGGTCACATATAAATAAATGACTCTTCTCAACAATTTATGGGGGTCCGTTGGGGGAGGGGGGTAATTGTATGGTTATTTTTCTTTATAAATTGGATAACTCTGAAAATCCCTTGAGGGTAGGAACCCTCTCCCTCGGTGGATACGCTTCTGAAGAAATACAATATATATCTTAATAATTATATAGTATATGGTATCTTATAGAAAAAATAATAAATAAAACTAAAAATGTAAATAGAAATTAATTAATAACAATGCATTGAGATTTCAATCATTACAGTCTAAAGCATAGCATCATGATGCAATTTACAAAGTGTTGATGCTTTTTTCATCTAGCTTTAGAGACCGTTTTTAAAGATCATTTTTGAGATACTAAATAGATAAGAGCTATAGGGAAAAAGCTATATCCTTTTCATAATTTGCAAGATTTATAAAAGAATGAAACTTCCAAAGATTTTGTTTATATTTATTGGATTTTTGTCAATATATGATTTAATATTTACCATCCAGTGTGTTAACCCGCAGCAAATAACTAAAACAAAAGCCCCCCCCCTTTTTCAAACCTCCAAAAAGAACAAAACAAAACAAACACACGTATATTAAAAAAAAAAAACAATAATAACATTTTTATTTTTTGGCACTCAGAATATACATGTATACAGTATGATTTTTCAGTTTGTTTGTTAATTTGCTAATTGTTTTGCTAATTTTACACTGTTTAATTTAATTAGAAGTATAAGACTTTTTCTTTTATTTCAAGATCATGATCCCTGGATACCTGTTATTAAGAATATGCTTATAAAATAAGTTCAGGTTCAGGCACGTACCGTGGTTGTATCGGGGGGGGGGGGGTTCCTCCAGACTACTAGTAACTTTTTACTGTTAATTTAGTATGAAAAAGTTCAATGAAAGCCACCCCCTTTCCCCACTACCACCATTATTTTTTGTTAATTGCCATTGAGTCAAATGCTTCAATGTTAATTCAAAATTGTAATAGTCGAAAAACCTGCAACCTGCAAACCCAACCCCACCCACGAAGTAGGATTTTCGAGTTTAGAACCCCCTTTTTGTTTTTGCTCTTCAAAATTTTTTCAGGTACATGAAAGTTAATTATCATTTATTCCCCCCCCCCCCCTTTCTCAAAAACGATGCTACGTACGCGTCTTAAGTTTGAGACGTTTAATTTCTTTTTCACGAGGTCTGTTAATCTGAAGATTTTAAAATATTTCGACGGATATGAAACAAGTTTTAAAAAACTGAGGCAATACAGATGAACTTCAAGATAGGATTAACCCTTGACAGGGGAAAACAAATGAATAGGAACTTAATTTATTCTGCAATAACATAAATTACTGACGAAATCACCTTTGTGCAATAAAATAAATAAATAAATAAATAAAAAGTCTTGATTTAAAGGCTTTAAAAAGTCACAATTTTGCAAGGAGAATCAAAAACAATTTTTGTTTTTTATTTATCTGGGGGGTGTCTTCAATGTCAAACTCTGCAGCAGAATCATAGAGATCTTGAAAAAGGTTCCATTTAACCCTTCACCTTCGCTCCGACCTCAGGGAAAACACCGCCTACACAAACTCGATACCCGAGTCCACGCGTCGGAATAACCTGGAAGTGAGTCATGCTAAAATATGTTTAAATGACCCATATGTACATACCCGAATGGCTTGAATTTTTGGAGCTGAACCTTTGACCTGAATACAGTCCGTTTTCTGAAAATATAGTCAGTTTTACAAAAGTTTACAGCAGAGTTTAAATCGAAAGTAGGATTCTGTGCCTCAGGAAAAAGGACGAGATACTTCCGATAATCGTATCATCAACTAGTCTGGAACTAGCTA